GCATCTGCCTCCAGACACAGTTGCACGGAGGAGGAAGTTGCCAACACAAGTTGGGGAAGGGTTAAAACCATCCAAGTCATAACAGTCCTTGTCGTTTTAAGTTTCCAGTCTGGTAATTCCAACATCCTTGCCACATTTGAATATGGTTCTGATCTACCTTTAACCAAACTGTTCTTGCCCATTTCGTAGCTTTGTGAATTTTTCCAGCTAGCTGAGCTTGAAGGAACAGTGTGATGGTCAGGTGTGGGGAGAGGGATGCACTCCATATGAATGCAGCATTTCAGGACCATGAACTTCAGACTCATCCCCACCGATGAAGAAGCTGAATAGAGGGACAGAGGCTGGATCCTCACCCATGGTTATGTGGAAGTCAAGAGAGGCCCACAGTTGGGGTTTGGCTTCCTTCAGGTAAGTGGAAAGGTGATAAAGCCCCATCAGTTTAGCTCTGTGTAGTTTCTCTTGATCAGATGAACTAAAATGTTCTGGCATATTTCAAAATCTTATATGGAGAGTTTTCTCCAGATTCATTGTGATAGCCCAGTAAAACTCTAGGAGATGAACCTGGGCAAAATGTAGAAGAGCTCCAGTGACGAGACTGTCCTGAGATGTCACCTGTCAGATTTGTACTCATGACATAGGTCACTGCAGCTCAGGGTTTCCCTCAGCAGTGTCTGCTAGGTTGATTTCTGTACCACTTACCTGTCTGTCTCTCCCTGTGGTCTCATTTTGCAGATTTAAGGAAATTCATTAGTGTTTTGAATCTGCTCAGGTTTTTACTTGGTAGGATGGAAGGGCAGCTTCTAAACTCTGTGTGCTAGGCTGGAAACTAGAAATCTACAAACATTTTTAAAAGTCAGTTTGTGACTAAAATACTATAACAACAAAACAGAAATTGGACACATCTTGCATGTCCTCCAAAGACCTATCTGTGTGAAAGGGTTGGTGCCTGCAGAGGTGCCATGGGAGGTGCTGGAGCATCCAGGAGGTGGGGCTAGGAGGAAGCACCGAGGCCATTAACTAGGGATGTGCCCTCAAAAGGGCCGTGGGACCCGAGGGTGTCTCCCTCTCTGCCAGCCCCCTGGCTTGTGTAGGTTAGTCCACCATGCCCTCCCACCGTGAAGTGAGTGTAGCCTCTATGCAGGCTCAGACCAGGGGCCAACGGATCATGGACCAGAACCCCTCCAATTGTGAGCCAAAGTGAGCCTTTTCTCCTTAGAACCTCATTATCTCTCGCACTTTGTTGTAGTGACAGTGAGCTGACTAACACCACAGCAGATTAGAAATCAGAAACAAAGCAGAGTATGGACAAAGCAGTGGTTGGACCTCCACTGCAAATGGAAGCAGCATGGGGCTGAGAGGAAATCAGATAGGCCATACCATTTATACAGTGATCCACGAGGTGGCCAGAAACCGTCTGCAGTGCATGGTCAAGTTTCACCCCACTCCCCACGACTTCACTCCTGCTGCCAGTTCCATCCCATCCTAGCACCCCGTGCCTGACACATTTCAGTCTCAGTGCCATTGACAGAGCCCTTACCACCCACGGGTGGAGGTGGCATTGTCCACTTTCCTCTCCATCTGCAGCCTCCTCTCCAGTTGCTAAAGAGGACACTGCACTGTCACCTCTGTGTCTGCACTTCTTCCACTGCTTCTCTCTCCAGGACCCTCTCTCCCCCTCTCTCTCTACATGTTCCTTAGTGCTTTTTCTTAAAAAAATTTTTTTTTGATGCTAAGGATAGAACCTAGACTTTTGCTCATGCTGAGCATACTCTACCACTGAGTTCCACACAGCCAGCATGCTTCTTTTTGAGACTCTTCACACATGGAAAGAGGCACATGTCTCAGACCCTCAGAATCATTAAAAGACTTAAGTCAGCACATCAACATCTGAGGGTGGGGTAGGGGATGCTCCCAGATGGAGGCCGCTTTGCTGGCAATGCTAGCCTCCTCAGGAGACACTCCAGAGCAGAAGCTGGCCAACTTTTGCTGTAAATTATCTTTCTAGAGCAGGCAGTCTCTTGCAGCTACCTGGTTGCTGTATTACAAAAGCAGCCATAGATCAGGAGTGGTGCAACTGTGTTCCAGTGACATCCCTTTCTCCAGAAATGTTGCAGCACTACTAACAGACAGGCTACAGACTTGATTCCAAAGAATTCTACCCTGCCTCTTAACTGTCAGGCTGCTCTACATTTATATTTTGAATTCCAAACTCCCTAGAACTTTTCTCCCCTAACGAACGTTAACAGTGACTGGTCTGTCCCAAGATGCACTTAGCTGCAGAGGCCTGAATGTCCTCAGAGGAGGTGAGGGACAGGCAAGTGGCACCTCCCAAGCACCCTGCACGTGTGAAATCTGTAATGTGGGGCCATGAGACTAGGAGATTATTAGAATGACATCATTTGAGGACTAAATGAGCCATAAAGTGGCTCCGTGTCATCAGCAGTGCCTTGCCTGTGTTTTTAACCTGGAGATGAGAGGTTGGCTGCTTGTAAAATGAAGTGAGGCTTGAGCGAGGATAGAGAGAGGATGCCATGTCTATGGTACACTGCTAGCTATGAGGAAATGCAAGGCTACTAATATCTATTAGTTTGTAGAGGGCAGACAGTATAGCAATGCATAAATCAAGACAGGGGGCACCAAAAACAAGTGCACCAACTTATATGATGATCTGATCTACTCTACAGAATGTCCAGACCAAGTAGCTAGCTATGTTAGTCAGCTCTCTGTGACTATAGTGAATACTAGAGACGATCTGTGAGTGAACAGGACTGGCTAACAGCTCTGGAGGTTGCAGTCCATGACCTGTTGCTGTTTGGGGTCTGTGGTGAAACAGTACCTTGTGGTAGGGAACACAGAGCAAAGCCTTCATGCTCCTTCTGGCTGGGAAATAAAGGAGAGGCTGGAGAACACACCCAGATGATATGACACCTCCCACTAGACCTCACCTCGTAAAGGCTCTACTAGCTCCCAGCACTCCCACTGTGGGGATGAGGCCTCCAACACGCGTATGTGCCTATGGGGGATACTCCAAATTCAACCTCCAGTGCTGCTATGCAAATTAAGATTCAAGACAGAAAAGGCACTAAGGCCTGACTTAAGTGAAGGAGGATAGGGAGGCTCACTTACCACACATTGACCTCCTTCCCCCCCCCCCTCCTCCTCCCAGTTCCTCCAAAGCAACACCAGGACATCCTTTGTCAGCCTGATAGAAAGGCACAACCTAGTAGGGAAGCTCTGGTAGGTGCTGGGAGTCTGGGTCTCTGACTTTGCTGCTGCCTGGCCCTATTCAGAGTGAGTGTCCTCAGGTGTGCCAAAAGCCACTCAACGTGAGACAGCCAGAAGCCATCGCCCCCAGATGCAGTCGGTGTGTGCATTAGTGTTATGACAATTTCATACTGTCTACCATGTTTTAGATCCCTAACATCCCCAAGGAAAGCAGACAGTGCCTCTGATGACTCTCAGCTCTGACTTATCTGACATCCAAACTATCTTTCAACTACATTGTAGTTCAGTGATGCTGTACTGAGCATCTGCTACCTCTTTTTGACAAGCCAGGCCAGACTAGTGTATAATTAATTGATCATCACACAGATACATCAGCTAAGTTTGGGTTTCCTCCAGCCTCTATATAAGTTCACAGTTTTATTTATTTTCTTACCATTTTACTTGGCACATTTAGCTTTTTCATTTTGAAAGTCTATTTTGAATCAATTTATTATAATTTTGAAGAGGACAAATACATCTTAGTTCATTCTAATGTTACGTACTTTTATGCTTGAGTCATTTACCATGGTTTCAGTTATTGACCTATTTTATATGTCATTTTATGGCCTACATATTTTCAGTGGAGACGCTTAGGCTAAGCTATATTTATTTATACCACAGTACATTAACTATAAAACTATCTAGCTACAGTAAAACCACCATAATCTGGAACCCCCGGGGAGTGGGCTATTCCAGATAGCCAGGATCTAGGAATTAAAGTTAACTGTTTGTGTCTTTTTTACCTCTTAAAAACAATATAAAGAGTCTCATTTAGCTCTGATTATAACTCATGGTAAACAGTAAGGATTGGACTTTGTTCTCACTAAAGGACTTTTGTTTTCTTTTAGTTCTAGTAGGCATTTCTTGACTGCTTTTCCTCGATGACTGCCGGCTGTGTTTCTAACCGGCACTACCTGTGCTTCTCCCTCTCTTCCCCATTGCTGCCTCTGTACTCTTCATACTTGGAGAGCAGGGGTGGAACTGTGTAAGATCCAGCCTAACCAGTGTAAGCAAGACCGCCAGAGGCCACTCCCTACAGACCGCAGTGGTGTGTGCTCGCAAAAGCCTTACTGGCTAGTGTGTGGGCTCTGTGCATCTTATCAATTGGGTGGTAAGACAGGGAGCTCTGTCCTAACAACTCCCTTCTGGTCCTCCAGGCATTCCAGAGCTTTGATGAGGCAGATTCTAACCAGGAGAGAGGAGCTGTGGTCCTTGGGCCTCTTCTTGGACCTGCTTAGCTAGTTGAACACACCCTGGAATAAAAATTAGGTTGAAAACAGGCCTGGCTTTAAATTTGTAGTTTATTAAGTGAGTTCTGTACTGTGATAATGTCCTCTTCCCTCTCTGTTTTCTTTTTTCAGTCCTTGGGATGGAAGCCAGGGCTTTGCACATACAAGGCAAACAAGTACTCTACCACTGAGCTACTTCTCCAGCCTCTAATGGCCTCATTGAACATGTTCTTTGAGGCTAATGCCTTTATTCTGCAATGCCTGTCCAGTATGATACCATGGTGTTAATGATTCTAACTGTTCCTTTTATTGTGCTATCATATTGTGCATATCCATAGGTGCATAATGTGCCTTTTTCTAGGTTTTTAGCACAGTAAAAGGGAGAATGGCTTTGTTGAATGTGATGGCATTCAGTCTGAGGCAGGTGAGCCTTAGACTGGAGGCCCTGGGGTCTTCTATTTTTCTGTTGCCTGTTCCTCCCACATTATCAGTGTTCCTTCTCTTCAGGTCCTCAACTACACAGGAATGATATTTTCCAAGGTGTGAGAGCCAGGAGTCCAGAGGTGCCCAGGCTTCAAATGACTTGTCCAAGGTCACATCACTGTTAGCACTCTCTGGTTTGGGTCCTGATCACCTGCCTGTCTACACTTAATTCCAGTGGAGTGGAGTTGTCCAGCCAGTCCTACACACTTAATGGTGAGTAACAAGGAAGACTTAGCTCTGACTGTGGGTTGGAGCACGTGGCAGACAGGGAAGGGTGGGAAACTTGATCCTGGGTGTGTGATTCTCAGGGGAGATATCTCCCTAACTTTGTGGGATCTGAGGACCCACTGTAGCTGGCCAGGTGGGTACAATAGTTTGGAGTCACTGGACTAAATAGTGGCTTTAATTATTGCTGTAGTTAATGGTCCAGTGTTTTTAGAGAACTAGATAGTATTTTGTTTAGCTTTGTTTTAGCTATATTGTTTTGTTTTGCTTCATTTTTGAAACAAGGTCTTATTAATTATGAGTCCAGGCTCCACTTTACCTCGTCTCTGCTTCCAAGTTATACTGCTGTACCACCATACCCCAGCCTTGGCTATATATTAGTAATAAGATAATGAAATTATTACTTTCTAAAACTAGGTACCCAAGTGTTCAGAAATGAATTCTAATCTAATTCTTAATACAAGGAAAATCTGTAGCACTTGTATTGAAAGTGAAACTTCATTTTTATTTTTAGATTTTAAAATACAGCTATTATTTGGGCTGGAAAAATGTTTTTGGCAAGAATAATTTGTATAACTTGATTTGCTATGTCATTTACAAATTCTCTGGGTAATTGTTTAAGAATTGTTAAATGACTCTCCTAGCTAAAGTTGACAGGAATGGGAACTGGGTGATGAGAACAAGGAAAAAGAGCCCAAACATCTTAGTGCTCTAATAATGTCTGCATTTGACATTTGTTTCATTAAAGAAACATCTCAATATAAAAGAACTGTTAATAATAGAGCATATTAAGCCAGTGTTGTTGATGGTCTATTAAGATGCTACATTCTATATAGGTTAATATTTAAATAAACCTTCTACCAACTTGTATTTTTCTTTTCATTTTGTGAGAATGCAGTAAATGTATTTGCTGATGATCCCAAGAAGTTGACTCTACCCCAGAATTTAAAACATCTTTATTATCCAGTTTAGTTTTAAGAAGAGTGGGAAATCTAGGCTGATGTATGTATATTAACTGACTGGTGCTACCACGTTAATCCTGTAATTAAGATTCATTTCTCAAAGATGTTACTGTAATCTTAGAAATATTAAAGATTTAAACCCTAAAGATTGGTATGGAAATGATTACATTTTCCTTATTCTTCTCCCCTCTCTCCCAGAGTGATTAATTTCACTTTCTGTGTCTCCTTCCCTCTACCGAGTCACCTAATTCAGTGCAGCCTGTTTAGGGATCATCTCTGTTAGACAGACAGCTGCCCAGAGCTTTCCCTTTCCAAGCATGGCTTTTTGATTATGGCCAATCAAGGACAGGCACTGGACGAGCACCTGTCAGTGCTGCTTTTCTAAAGGAGATGGCTCTAATCTCATTTCAGGGCACTTCAGAAGAAGGCTCCTTTGAAATGTGGCTCTGCTCTTATGACTCATCTTTTTCGGCCCAGATGCCACCCTGCAGTATGCTCATGACGCGGCTGGTCCGTGCTGAAAGGGGAAACTGGAAAAGTGAGGCCCTGCCCAGGCATTTGATTCGCAACTTTCTGTTGTGAAGAAAAGCATCTCAAAATTCGTATTTGGGCTTTTCTATATAAATATGATAAAAGATTGGAGGGAGGTTGCTTTTTGTTTCTGTTTTTCTCTTTTTTTTTGAGCAAGCTTTCCAAACATTTCAGCTCTGCTGTAAACACATGTCATGCAATTGGAGGAACGTGAGATGTTGAAGTCTGTTCCCTTTATCGGTGAACGGTGCCCGTCCAGTGTGATTGATGCTGGCTGCTGCGTAGGGAAAGCTCTGGACTTTCACCTTGGCCCCAACTGGAGGCCCATTAAGTACTTAACACACAGGTACTGGCTCCCACCCAGGACTAGGTGGAATGTAGCTATTCAAAGACAAATTTCATTTTGCAAACCGTAACTTAATAGTGTAATAGTGTATAGACCAGAATCAGTTAATTTCAAAACATTTTATTCTACACCAATTAGCTTAGGTCCTGGAGGGTAAAATGACAAGAGGTTACTCGTTCACTATGTATTTAATTAATTGAAAAATGCTCAAATTGCTTTTACAGTTGTTATTAAAAAGTGGAATCAGTGTTGCCAGTGCTCAACCATAATTGGAACCCTAGGGAATTAAATATTTAGCATTAGTAATGTAACAGTACTTAGGACACAAATTTCTATTTTCGTCATGAAAGCTGTACACTGAGAGTGTGAGCGGCTGTGAGGACAGCTGTGACAAACGCAACGGCCTGGGATATTTCAATAAGACACCTCATTGGACAGCAAGTCTTACCACATTACTCGTTTGTAAGAGATCTGCAAGTTTAATTCCCAGTAGAAACCCGTTGCCCGAGTATTTAGATTTCTAATTGCATGCAGGGTGAACAGTTGGGCAAATGTCTTGCCGTAAGTGGCTGAAATGTATAATGCTTTCTAAATAATCCCATATAAGTTCGTGCCTTTGTCAATTTAAAAATAGCAGGACTGTCAGGGAATAAAAGATCTTGTTTGTTTTAAGTTTAATTACATTTTAAGCATCCATGCATTCAGTGCTACAGTGAGAAAAGTTGGATATTGGCTCTAATGAGCTACAGGGGTAGACGGCTGGAGACCCTGAGGGATTCACTCGGTAAATTAACTGGATAAAAGTACTTGCTGAGGATATAGCTGATGGCTGAGCTGCTCTTAAAACCCAGTTATAGAGCTGTCTCTCATTCCTGTTTTCATTCCAAGCAGCCTCTGTAGAGACCTTAACAGCCGCCTGTTAAAACTGTTCAACTTGTCAAAATGTATTATATTACTCCACTAATAAATAGTATTAAAGGGTATTTGCCTTCACTTCTCGTTTTCAGAGGGGATCAGGTTGATAAACACAACTGGCTTAGGTTGGCCTTATTTTAATTTGTTTATGTCATCTAAGTAATATGGAAAGTGCACGGCTTGAATTTGCAAACATTACTTCCTGGGGATGTAAACTTACGAAATACTGCATACCATGGAAGCAAGGCACGGAAACTCTACTATCCCAGCTTGCTGTTGAGAGATGTGTGGCTGGCATTCTTAGGCCACATTCAAAGTACTTGTGAACCTCATATTTCAACTGATGTTCTTTGAAGCATGACTAGCCTAATTCCTTTGCCAATCATTAGTTCTTGTGAAGAGAGAGTTGCAAGATAATTGCATAAGGTTCTTTTGCTTCCCATTTTCTGGTGTCCATTTTTAAATTGTTTATTGTAATTGATTATGATTTCTTACTTTTAAACAGTTTTTACTTGAAAAAAGAAAAAACGAGTAGTTTATTTGATAAACTCTCCTTTAGACCCTCTTTGCTAATTCTCTTCCCTTACCTGCTGTCACCTGTGCTAACAATCTGAAGAAATACTTCTGTAACATTTTTCTGAGCATACTTTGCTTGGCATATAAGGTAGAGTGTGCAGCATAACTGGACAACATAATGCAGGTAATTACGTATAGGCCTGTGACTTTCTGTATTGGTACTCCATAGCATCCTTGTGCTCTTGTGCTATCATTGATCCATCTACCCACTCAACTTTCCATCTGTCCATCTACCCACCATTCATCCATCATTAATCAGTCTATCTATCTATCTATCTATCTATCTATCTATCTATCTATCTATCTATCTATAAGATTTGAACTCAGGGACTTGAGCTTGTTAGGCAGGTGCTCTATCACTTGAGCCAAGCCCCTAGTTTTAGTTATTATTTAGATACTGTTTCACATTTTTGCCCTGGCCAGCTTCAGAATGTGACCCTCCTGCTTATTTGATCCACTTACCTATGCCTCCTGCATAGCTGGAAGTGGTATATATCGGGATCTCCCACTACGCCTTCTTAGTTGATATGGGAGTTTTGCTAGTGTTTTTCCCAGGTTGTTGGGGCATAAAGTGTGAATGTGTAGCTCTTTATTGGCATGTATCTCCATGCATATATAATAACAAAACACTGGAAGCCATTTAGCTAGTGATTGTTCTGTGCTTGGTATTATTTAAGACATTTGTTATTCCATCCTTACAATAATTATGAGTTAAAAATTATTACCTTTAGCGGCCAGGCTCCACTGGCTCACACTTATAATCCTAGGGGCTTAGAGGCTGAGAACAAGGATGATCATGGTTCAAGGCCAGCCCAGTAAGAAAAGTTCATGAGACTCCATTCTTAACTGATAGCTGGGAATGTGGTAGCCTGTTGTCCTAAGCTACATGGGAGGTTGATATTAGTAGAATTGTAGTTCCAGCCCAGCCCAGAAAAAGTTACTAAGACCCCCATCTCAGTGGAAGAAACTACTGTGGTGATGCTTGCCTATCATTCCAGCAACAACAGGAAGCCTGAAATGGACAGATCCAGGTCCTAGCATGGGCCTGTGGAAAAGACCCTATCTCAAAAGTAACCAGTACAGAAAAGAGCTGGAGGCATAGCTCCTGCATTAGAGTGAGTACCTAGCAAGTTCAAGGCCCTGAGACCAAACACCAATACTGCTAAGAAAAAAAGATTATGATCCATACTTTCCATGTAGGGAAACCCAGGCATAGAGAGGTTGACTTCCCCAAAGCCACAGGAAGAGAAACCAGCAGGGCCTGGCTTGGAACCTGTGAGGTTTGGCACATCAGAGTCAGTTCTCAACCAAGACATTCATTGATTTTTTTTTTCTTGTAATTTGCCTTTGCTTATAAGTGAGTGCGAACACACACATTGCCTTTGTGTTTCTTCAGAGAATTTGCCTGTTCATGTTCCTTGGCTCATTTCCCCTTAGTGCTGTCCTGTCAGAGTACAGAGAAGTCTTTATTAGCCTATTACCTGTGTTTTCACTTTGTTTTATTGTAATGTCACCAAAGTTTGCTGTATGGATTGGGACATGAGGAATCCTTTCACCACCCCCAAGGTGACAAGTATGCTTGCCTACATCTTTCTCTACTATTTTTCATTGTGTTCAAGGAAATATCTTTAACTTACAAAGGGCTTTTGCATATGTGT